CGCAAAAAAAAAAAAAAAAAAGAAAAAAAAAAAAAAAAAAAAAAAAAAAAAAAAGAAGGAAGGAAGAAACGCGTGGACAAAAGGAGAGCGTCACAGCAGGCTCGAGCTCAGAGTGTGTTTGTGGTGGTGTAACGTGGGCCGGCTGTTCTGCAAGGACACCGCAATGTCACACAGGCATGCCGGAATAACATTAAAGTGTTTGTGGCGTGCAATTAGAATGGGAATATCTGCGATTTATTTGTGGGGCAGCGGAGCCAGATTTTTTTTTTTTTTTTTACAAATGGTTATGGAAAACACTGCGGTGTAAATAATATACTGAATTTGCGGTGTCTTGAAGCAGCAGAGAAGAAGAAAAAAAAAAAAACAAACAGTTTTTTTGGCAGTGATGGTTTAATGTTGTCTGTTTTACAAGGGAGAGGAAAATAGTGTGAGATTTTTTTTTTTTTTTTTTTTTTTTTTTTTTTTTTGCATTAACCGTGTCATTTGTGTGATTCTGACCCTTGTCTGATGCCAGCTTTATAAACATCACGTATCCTTGAGAGACAAACCTTGGATATCATCTTCCTCTGACTCTTCCTCTCTCTCTCTCTCTCTCTCTCTCTCTAAAGCCCGTTTTCCATTTTTACTCCATGATCCGTCCCATCCATCTCTACAAGGACGCCAGGGTACCTGCAGCAGCAGCAGCAGCTATCCAGGGTGCTGAATAGGGCGACTGTCAGCTGTGTGGAGAAAAAGGAGGGGGGGGGGGGGGGGGGTGGGAGAGCGGGGAGATCTTCTCTGTTTAAGCCTAAATGAATAGCTTTTCATTTCCTGGATTCCAGACACAATACGTTTATGGTATGAATGTAAACAAAGTGCGAGATTCGGGCGCCACGGTGTTACTTATTCATATAAAAAGGACTTTCTTAAACCGGTTATCTTCCAACAACACAGCCTCGGTGGTTTGGATTTGTTTGTTGCAGGTACTTAAATGGTGACTTATTGTACAGTTTGTTGTCCACTGACTGGTGAATAGTCGGCTAATACTCAGCTTCTTCTTGTTTCCTGCTAGAAGCTCAAATGTAAAGATGAAAAACCTAAACAATCAGTGAAGGGCCAATGGCTGCATTTCTCTTTTTTCTAACTGCGGGATATAGCACCACCTGCCGGTTTAGAGTCATTGCGACAGGAGCAGGTGTCTACAGACGCATGATGCAAAGTTGCACTTTCCCTGAATTCTGCTACAGTGCTTTTATTATTATTATTATTATTATTATTATTATTATTATTATTATTATTATTATTATTATTATTATTATTATTATTATTATTATTCAGCCAACCACTGTTTATGACTAGGTGCTTCAGAATTTAGTTTAATCAAAAACAAAAAGGGATGTTGTTTGACAGTGAAGTAACAGTTCTTACAAAGACATTGCTAATGAAACTGTAAATCAGCTAATATAAAAATGTAATCGGCTTCACAAAACTTAACTGATAGAAAATTGTTAAACTTTAATAGCTATAATTATATAAAAGAAAAAAAAGGATATTAACTAATAATAAAGTCAACAGTTAAATAAACAAGCTATTAAAAAAGCTATTGAAGTTAATGTTAGAAAATAATAGGTAAATAACTCAAGGTTAGGAATGCTGTAGGTTTGACAAAACAAATTAGTTAGTAATAAATTAGTTAATAAAAATTAAGACAGCACGTCTTCCACATCTGGTGTCTTTTTTTTTTTCTGCTCTTGCGGGATTGCTGTTTACAAACTAAGATAGAGCAGTGCAGTTCTCAAACTGTGGTACGCGTACCACCAGTGGTACGTGAGCGCTCTCCAGTGGTACGTGGGGAAAATTCATGTTTTCATATTTCCATTTTCAATTGAATAAATCTGAAACATACCATGGCACAATGAATACAACATTTAACATTAAACATCTTTATAAACATTTATAAACAGTTTTCTCAGGTGGTACAGAGTAGAAAAAGTTGGAGAACCACTGGGATAGAGTGAATAAAATTTAATTTTTTTTTTTTTTTGAAAATTGTTCTGCTTTTATATATACAATAGTTGAGAATAATGTTAACTTCGGTCACTTTGGGCTCCCACAGAGCCTCACACTGTAACCATAAACTGCAATAGATGCTTCCTACCCTTTTGAAGGGCCATAAAAGGAAGTTTAAGAAGTTGCACTTATTTGTAATTGGTAAGTTCTTACAGGTCACATAAAAACATGTTCAAATTCCACTTTTTTGGTGGAAATGCACCTCAGGATTGTCAAACAAAAATGTATTTAAATAAAAACAACTAACTACATTTTTTAAAAAATGTATTAATAGACAATAATATCTATTTTAATTTGAAAATACGAGAGCCACAGCACTCGCGCCTTGACTTCTCCTCGGATCTTTTCCACTCTACTTCACTTCCTGGATGTACGTTCCTCTCCCGGCCGCTAGGGGGATCCAAGCAGCTGGGATCCGAGCCCGGCACCGGCGTGGAGAAGGAAGCTTTCTGCGTTTGTCCGCGAACGCAGACACTGGAGGAAGGTACAACAGGGTCCGCGGAAGAGGAGGCAGCTCGAAAGCGACGTACTTTTTAAAGAAAAAAAAAAAAAACAAAGAGTTTTTTTTTCTTTAGATGGGGACAAGAAATGACATCTACCGCCAGCGAAAGAAGGGCGTTTGCTCATAAAATTAATCGGTAAGTATGAAAGCGAAGTTGTAGTGTTGTGTATACATGTACGTAGCAACAAAGCTAGGACTCCTTTACCTCAAAACTACTTGGTATAAACCAATTTAAAAGACAAAAAAAAAAGAGGGGAAGTGAAAAAAAGCGTTTCATATCCTCGACTTGAGACATTTTAAAGAGTGTAGTATCCTGTTTATGTGTCTCCTTTGTTGCACCGAGAGCACTGTCATTAATATTTAGATACTTTGTGGAGTGAGTTGCGTATCGTTGTGCTAATGGAATCATGACACGGAACGATAGACGGGATTACGGCTATGTTAAACTCATACAACACGTTGAACGTAATTCAGTGGCTTAAATGTCTGCAGGGATGTCATGATAAATTGGTCAGGTTAATTTTTGTGTGTGTGTGTCTCTGGATAATAGAAATGGATTCAGCGCTCTCACTGCTAAAGGAAACCCTGGCGGTAAAGCATTTGTAGACATATCTCTCTAGATTTTGTACCAAATATGAACTTACAAATCACTTGAACATGAATTAATTTGTAAAAAAAAAAAAGTGTTTATAGTTTTCAAAAACAACTTGTATTTCCAACCAGTCTAAATACAGTGAAGGGTACTTTTTAAGGGTGGACCTTGTGCTTAAAGGAACTTTGCGCAGACTACTTAATAGTTGCAGTACTGACAACTCACTGCATGGACAGGTGTAGTAGGTTCTTTAAAAAAAAAAAAAAAAAAAGAAAACAGGTCCCACGATGGAAAAGTAAACTAGTACTGATACAAATTTCTGTAGTGGTATAGAAGGGAAATAGACAATAAAACATGACAGGTGATATTACAAACATATATGTGAATAGCATGTGCAATTACCTACCTGACTTACTGTACAGGAGAATCATTGCATACAATCGTTAACATTTTTCCGCCATCCATTTATTTAATTCACAAATGTCCATTACCAAAAAAAAAAAAAAAAAAAAGGGGGAAAACAAAGCTGTTCTCACTCTTTTTATGAGAGTGACAGATTTGACATTTAACGTTTGTGGGAGTTGCCTCTAGGTGCAACCAAGACTAAGTGTCTTGCTCAGTGGCGCAGAGGCAATGTAGGAGAGCAATGTGTGCAATCAAACCCAAAGATTAATTCTTAATAAATACTAGCTCAATACCTGGTAGTGATTTCTCAAAATGTAAGACATTGCTGTTTTAACATAGCGAAATGGTAACTAGTTATCTTGCATTGTGGTTTATTAAGTGCCACCAAAGTCACAAGTCAAGTTACAATTATGTCAGTAATAGTAATAGATATTGATTTAGTCAAAATTAAGTCTCTATTTAACTCTTAAAATATATAAAAGTACTATTATTTTTTGAAAAATAATTCAAACATACATTCGTGTTGTTTACTGCTGGTGTGTCAGCCTGCCAGTACATTCAACTGTAGCCTGTTTCCACATGTTGGAAACCGGTTTTTCCTTTACCCGGAAACAGGACTTGATGTCTCACTTTTTTCTTTTTTTTTTTTTCATATAATGCAGAATAAATCACAACCACATTCCTCGAAGTGTCATTTTTGTCAACGTGAGCTCACGCAGCGTGCAGAAAAAGTAACCGTTGCGAGAAATGTGAATGTGTGCCGTATTCTGATTTTGTTTGTTTAAATCTCACCGTTTACATATTTCAGTTCGACTTTATGTTTTCTGCGCTGACTTTAGCTTCGCCGAACATCACACTGTAAATATTTGAGCTCGTCAAGCGTAACTTCTTCACGCCACACTTATATAACAAGTTGTTTTTTGTTTTGCTTTTCTGCTTGTCTTTAGGGAGAAGTGGCCCTTATTTATATTCACTCAGAACTCAATCTGCCGAAACGAAAGTGCAGAAGTGAGTGCAATGGTGAAGTGGTTTGGTATAGTCCGAAACTGAAAATGGCAGAAACGGCTCCTCTTCGGTTCAAAGGGACAAAATATCTCCAACTGTTGCCACATAACCAGAAAGATTTGGTCTGATTTAACACTGATAACAAAACAATATGCTGAATGTTTAACTTCAGAATCCTGATAAGAAAACAAACCTATTCCTGACCTCTCAATGACAGTTGTTTTTTTATCTCGGTAAAACTGCAAAAACACTGTCATTTCACCATGTAGGTTTTGTTCCATTTGTTGAAAACCAGATTGCTTCATTACCAACTTTATTAACGCCTGTTCGACCAGACTCTCTGAGAATGCATTCTCCAGTTTCTTTCACTCCTAACTGCTTGGTTGGTCACAGGCCATTGTTAACAGCCACACTCAGGAAAGGGTGGGAAGGAAGGGGATTTAAAACGATTCCTCCGGCTGTCGACAGCTTTCCGTTTTCCTCTTTTGAATGGAGGTGTGTGTGCATTTACAGCTGCGCCACACTGTTTCCGTTACAGTCTGCAAATTGGTATCTACCAAGAAAACGGTTGACGTCCACGAGAACTCCAAAGCTCTTGTGTCATTCTGGAGAGAAAGTCAACAGAACTACTGGTAGTTTTGTCTCATAAATCTGAGATGTTAAAGACTTTACCACTGCGCTTATGAAAAAAAAAGAAGAAAAAAAAGACTAATATTTGGTTGAAAAAGAGCAGCTGCCTGGTGTCTCTTCCGTGCGTTGTCTCTCATGAAGTCATCTGACAATTTTCTGGCTCTTTGCTTAATCCACCCAGCCAACTTCTCATCTGTTGTGAAGAAGCAGCTCGGGTCTCTATTCAGCACAGCTGCTTGCCTTCAGCCATATTTCCAAAATGTTATAAGAACGAGAATTTGGTCATTGGAAAAAAAAACTGGCTGCATAAAACATAGAGGTTAGACAAATGAATCTTTAAGCAATAGTTCGTGTTCACCATCACACGTATAAGGTGCTTTTTTTTTTTCATATTGAAACAACTGATACCTCAACATGTGACAAACTGTCACCGATATGGCATGACACGGAAAGACCTTTTGAACGCCTTCCCAGGAATGACTATTTATAGCCACAAAACATTTAAAAAAAAGGAAATAATAATTCCTGTGTGTGTTATGCCAGGGGATCTCCGTTCTCCAGTCTGTCAAGGCTCTGTGTTTTTGTGTGTTGAGATTCGTCTTACAAAACAATCGAATGGGGTTTGTTCCTTGTTCGTTCTGGAGGCTCTGTGCTGCCAAAGCCAGGTCAATATTTCCTACGTTCTCTAGTAAGTTCTTGGCTTAACGGGGGCTAAATATTTCCCTGGTTATTAGTTCTTCTACTTCACCCGTGGAAAGGTACCTGGAGTCTCGCTTCTGTAGTAACTTTTGCAACAAATTAAAAGAAAAAAAAAAAGAGCGTGAATGTCAGAAACAGGTTTTTGTTTATTCAAATCTTACATTGATTTAAATATTTAAATTTGACCTTGTGTTTTTTTAGAAGTGATTTTAGCTGTGAGCAGGAGTGTGTGTGTCTGCAGTGCTCAACGTTTGTATCGGCGAAATGTGTCCGATGTGTAGATGGGAAAATATGATGAATCACAGGTTAGCACTGCTCTTGGTCAGTCATGACTAATCATGATTAATCATTCTTCATTCTTCGACATTTCTTCAACAAAAAAATTTCCCTTCATAGAGTTGGTGGATTTTAGTCAAAACTGCGTCTTCACGGCGGCTGTCAAAACTTCAGTGAAGCCCAATTGGCCTATATCGTGTCGGTCAACCGGTCAGTTGTGCGATGCTGGTCTGAAACAAGCCGAGACCCTGAGTGGAAGATGAAGTGTCCGCACGCAAACACACTGCGGCCGTTTACATTGTACTTTCATCTCCTGCAGTGCACACCAATAATCACGTTTGTATTGACTGTGATAGAGGGTTAGAGCAGCGATAAGTGGATGGACGGTGGAATCGTTGGATACGCGGCGTGAGGAGTTCTGCCCATGCGTTAGGGTGTTTCAGAAGCCAGATCAGTCTTAACAAATCGATCAACTGGTAATTTTGACAGCCCTGGACTTTTTTAGGACAGAACGATACAGTGATTATTCATGCATACCGCCGCCCACATTGTTCATTTTTCTCTATGCGAGATCATATTTCACAATATTTATTTATTGCTGACAACATTATACATAAAAAAAAAATCAAAATTAGGAACTTCCTTTCCTACGGAGCAAAGTTACTCGATAAAGTTAAGAGCCTGGACTTGCATTTGGCAATTTTCAATTAAATTCATTAAATTTGGTAAAAAATTAAATTTTCTAAATAAAACATCTACTAGACTCTGTTCTGTATGTATCAGAGCCTGAATGACCTATTATTTTAAAAATATTGCCGCACTATCTTTAAATAAAGAAAAGTAAATCGATATGGTGCATTTTCTGGATTTTCTTTGACACATTTTTGTGTCCAACTGCGACCCGGTACGAAATGACCTATGGACTTAACTCTAATCCAACCACTTTACATGCATTTTTTTTTGTTGTTGTCAGTCTTTGTCACGTCCTGGACCACTTCCTGTTTTGTTCCATATCTGACTTGTCTTCTTATTTTCTTCCGTTTCGTAGAACTTTTGCTGCAGATGTCAGAAAACAAGTGTCCAGAGATTATGGCTCTCCTCAACTCTCCAAGAAACGAGGCGGCTCCCACCATCCTGTGAGTCACCTTGTGATTGACCTGCCAAAGTAGTCCACGTGTAATAATAATGGATGTACATGTGATGTGAGTTCGGTTTGTTTAGACACAAATACTGCAGCTGACTGTGGTTGAAATCAGCACTGACGGCACTGCAGGCTGAAAGGGAGTTGGACTGGAAACATGAGAAACCTGTTTATGCCTACGTGGTGTTTGGCCATCAGCTTAGGTATCTGCATGGCTGCTGACCAAGGAGCACAATGGCATACAACTGTATTAAAATGCTGCATTGTGGACATTTTCTGTGGGCGCTGTACTTCAGCGTAGATGTTTACCAATGCACTTTTGATTTCATGAGCGCCGAGTCCCTGACTTTAGTTTCGATCTTTAAGATAGTGGGAGCAGGCAGACCTTATAGAATCTGCAAAATTTCATGTATTTTTTTTTGATATTTTTAGACCTTAAATTTAGACGGTAACATAAGTAGCTCCATGTTAACTAATGGATTGTGTGCTCTCAGCCTGTGCAGCCTCACGGAAATATAAGCCGTAGTTGTTAGGACTGCTACATATTTATTCAAATCTGAATATGTACACAGGACAGATTACTTTTTATGATGTTTAATATAGTGTAATTGCACGCTAATAGCGCGATTTGAATAACTTTGAATAACGTTATACTTTAAAAATTTGTTTTGTGTCACATCAAATGAATCCACTCCTAATATATAATATATAGACTTTTACGTACATATATGGACAGACTGACTGTTTTGTGTGTTTGTTTGTATGTTTATGAATGTGTGTATCTGTTTATCTATACATACATACATCCATCCATCCATCTATCATCCTATCTGTCCATCTAACCGTCTATCTGTCCATCTATCATCTATCTAATCTTCTAATGATCTTCTAATCAAATCATTATATATCAAATGTTTTTTAATCAATCAATTCTAAGGCAGCAGAACTAATTTTACAGCGAACAATAATCTTGAAGTTCTTCCTGCAAACAATACGGTTTGCTCCATTGATGTCTCAATGTAACTGTTTCATGTCCGATACCAACTGGAGTAGCTTCTGTCACATACACTACGTGTCCTGACTACCTTCAGCCTTAAAGAACTCCTTCAGTTTTATCCCAAAACCCCTTTTTTTTTTAAAAAAATCTGATTGATATGAACTTGTATATTGTTTTTCATTCTCGATTGACAGCTGCCTTTAACAGAGGTGGTGGAGCCTGTGGACTTTGAGGAGTATGTGAGCAACCACGCTCTGGGGGTGGAGCCAGGTCCACTCAGACAGCTGATGGAGTTCCCCCAGGATGACTTAGAGCTCCTCCACCTGGACAAAGAGTGCACGACACTGGAGCCTCCGCTGCCTGAGGAAGACGAGTAAGGACAGCTGTCGAAGACCCACACACAGTGGTTCCACATTGTAACACATTCGTAGACCTGCATACACGAAGACATCCGTCAGTGTCTTCTTTCAGGAACTGGAGAAAAAGATTGTTACAGAATGTCATAAAAAAAAAACCACACAAGTAAAAAGAAATAACAGAATTTATCTTTTTGCACAAAAAATACCAAAGGCACATTTTTGATTATTATACATTCACGGAATGGACTAAAAAGAATTCCAGATTCGGAGATTCAGGGAGAATACAGGAACTATCTTTCTGCAGCATTCCTGATTGTTTAGAAAAATGTGCTTTATTTCCACTTTTCAAAACCTCAAACCATAATCAACTTTTATCTCTGAATGGAATCTAAAGGATTTTTCTGCCACTAAACAAAAAAAAAAAGAATTGTCAGTTTTAAGGAATTTTCTCAAAAGAAATCCAGAGTGACCTGAAAACGACTCCTAGGATTTTTGGGAAGTTGATAACGCAATGAAAATGTAGTCGAAATTGTAGTTGGATGACAATAATTACTGATGCTAAAATGTCCTGCTAGTATTGAAGTAGTGAATTCCAGTGGAATATTTCACTTTATTCGTTGCAAACCAAATTTCCTCTGTTTTTTGAATTTTTTTGCGTGCCAGAAAAAAGGCTTTCCCTCACCAATCAAAAAGAACCCGCCTGTAGTCGTTTGCTTGTTTCTGTTCTCAAAACTGTACTTCTGTTATTTTTGGAGTATTGTTCAGAGAAGACAGAACTGGCTCCAGACCCTTACTTTGTCTGCTCGGCACTACTAAACACGAAGGATAAATATTGATAAAACGGGGAGACGAATATTTTTAGCAACAACCACTGAGTGCGCGTGTGTTTTGAAATTGTCTTTTCAGCTCCTTCGATCCCAGAGTGAGAGACGCCCTGGCAGTCTATACGGATGACTGGCTCGTCATCCAGAGAAAGTAAGTGGAGTCGCTGTTGGTGAGAGCTGAAATGACCGAGTATTTTTATCTACATTAAACTGTGCGTCCCATGGCTGACAGGTACATGATTTATTTCTCTCTGTCTTTTTGTGCTTCCCTGCAGGTACCAGCGTTACAGCACCACGTTTAGCCCTCACAGCTCAGAGCGACAGAGGGAGAGGCAGCATGGATTGGTCAAACAGACCTTTGAACTGGATGAGGTCACTGCCTCAGAGAGCCAGGATGAGCAGGTTGGCCGTGATCATTTTCAAAGGCCTCATTGTCTTTAAGTGTCAGCTTTCATCCGGCTACATGAGTAATACATAGCGATGGAGTCCATGGCCACGCGCGTTCTTTTGGTTTCAACTTTGATCAGCATCTTAAATCAGTTTTTTATTTTCAGGCCAGTCTCATCAGTCGTTTCCTTCTGTGCCTTCAGAGATTTTCTTCCCCTTGATTGCTGCTACATAGAACCAATCGCTGCTTAAAGTTGACAGACCTTTCAGGGGAAAAACAACACTAAAGACTGTGCCAGCAAACATAACCGCAACCAGCTGCAACCGGCTTCGAATTTATAAACTCCCCATAATGTCCCAGACAAGTCTTTTGGGGAGACATTAAAAAAGGAGCTAATGGGTAATGTAGTTATAATAATCAAGGCATGTACAGAAATTGGGCAGGTAGCGGTTTGAAGTGACAGGCCAAAAATAAGTCTGACACTGATGAATCTCAATACATAAGCGGTCTAAACCACGGCCATCTGGCCATTTTAGTTCATCCACATCTGTTCATTAAAGCCTAGTCAGAAATGGTCTGTGAAGCGTGGTTGAACTTCAGTGTTATCACATCTGTTTAATGTCACATAAACTAGAGGCAAGTCAGAAAAACGACAATTAAAAAGCCAGGCAACAGGAAGTTTGACATATGTTGATAATGCAATCTAGGGAGTTGGGTAAAAATAAATGAAATTATTTTCTAATTATGACAAGGGATGAACGACCTTTTCATCTCAACATGTTATTCTCCTGGTCTGCGTTCATACGTAACTCCATCAATAATGACCTCTGACCCTCTACCATGTTTTAAGGACGATGCCAAGCGACAGTCAGTTAGCCTCGAAGAGACGCCTCGCGGCAGTTGGGCTTCGAGCATCTTCGACCTAAAGAACTCCTCCCCCGACGCCCTCCTGCCCTACGTCCTCGAACGCACACAGAGGCTCGCCAGCAGGGGCGCCACTGTGACCTGCTGGGGCTGTACCCTGCCCCTGATGAGGTCGGTGGTAAACTGGCCCTACCGGTCGTGCTTCAAGTTTTTTCTTTTTTTTTTTTTTCAAAATTACATTTTAGATTTCACTTTTAAATAAGCTCCAGTAAAATATATTGTGTGTATTTTTAAGTTATATTACGTGTTTAGATTAGATAGACACTGTTTACTTCTGTTCTCAGGAACATGATATCATTTCTCATGAACCGTCCTTTTATCTCTTATGAAAGTCCAGCCTCTGTAGCTCAGAGCTGTTTGCCTTTTTTTTCCCCGCACTCGGTCTCTCTCACTCTGCCTTTCTTATATTTGAACACATAATTGCTTTCTTCCTTTCCTATGTTGCCATGGTATCCTGTGTAAATAGTGGGTGAGCGTGTGTGCATTGTGGCCTTTTTTTTTTTCTCTCTCTCTCTCTCTCAGGATGAGGCGGTGGAGAGATGTTCTGTTCCTGAAGTGCCTAAGGAACATTGTGGCCAGAGGATTATGGTCAAGTGCCTTTTACTGAAGTGAGTGACAAAAAAAAAAAAACCAGTGCTGGCATTATTAAAAGAAACATTGGTATGCACTTTCTGCTCAAAAAACGCCTTAATATTTTTGGATTCTTTCAGATTTGAAATAGAAATTGAGCCCATTTTCGGAACGCTCGCCCTTTATGATGTTAAGGAAAAGAAAAAGGTACTTTTGAAACTAAGAATAAATCACATTATTTCTTTAGTTGCTTGAATGACAAAGGGCAAAAAAGGGGCTTTCAGTCCGCGAGACCACTCGCGTAATGCTTGGCTCAGCTCAGCCAATCGAAGACTCTCCATCAAAGTAAAGAGGTCTAAGTGGTTTTAAATCTCGTAACTGAATTAACTTGTGTGTCCATTATCATTTCCCCCTCCTCTGCCCGCTCCCACTCCTTCCTCTTTCTGCTTATCCCAATTTTCTGTCCAACAGATCTCCGAGAATTTCTACTTTGACCTGAACTCGGATCAGATGAAAGGGCTGCTCAAACCGCACACGCCTCACGTCGCCATATCCACGCTGGCCCGATCGGCCATTTTCTCCATCACGTATTCCTCCCCTGATATCTTCTTAGTCATTAAGGTACCAACGTCTACTTTCAGGCATTTTTCTTTTGCCTGTATTTAAACTTTGTTCGCACTCACAGACCTCTTAGGTTCATGTTGCTGGCACTGGGCGTGGCCAGTTTTCTGCATTCAGATCTGCTCTAATCTCTGAGACATTGAATGAACCTGTTTCTGGAAAACACTCACACGGAGAGTGGAGCGGGGGGCCGGGGGGTGGAGTGTAAGGGGTGGTTTATGCCAGAAGAATAGAAGCACAGTTGAAAAGGAAGGTTTTTGAAGATGGTAGTGAGACCTGCTATGATGTCTGGTTTAGAGACAGCGGGTCTGCCTAACACACAAAAGGCTGAGTTGGGGATATCGATGTTGAGATTTTCAATAGGGGTGACCAGGATGGACAGGATAAGGAATGAGCAGATCAGAGAGACAGTTAAGGTGAAGCAGTTTGGAGATAAAGTCAGAGAGGTGAGGTGGAGATGTGAAGATAGATTTGAAGATGGAGCTGCCAGGAAAGAGGAGAGGAAGACGTCGGAGTAGATTTGAGGTTGTGGATAAAATGCGCATAATTGGTATACAAGCAGAAGATATACCCACGCACATACATATATACTGTATATATCTACATATGTGTAAATGTGTGTGTGTGAATGTATATATATATATGTGGAGGTATGTCTGTATATATATGTGTGTATATATGTGTATATATGTATGTATATATGTATATATGTGTGTATATATATATATTTAGATATACATAGATGTGTTTGTATATATAGTATCTATATACTGTATGTATATATGTATATATATATATATACATATATACATACAGTATATAGATACTATATATACAAATACATATATGTATATCTAAATATATATATATATACACTATATAATATCACAACAATACAATATTATATATATATATTCATATTCAGTATTACCAGGGGGGTTCTCATATGTACACATTTTTGTGGCTGGAGATTTTATAATTACACAAATGTACAATTTTGTCAACAGTGTACAACAGCTCGACTGTAAAATATCTGAATGTTTTTTTTATTGTTTCTGTATTTTAGCTCGAGAAAGTGCTTCAGCAGGGAGACATCGGAGAGTGCTGTGAACCTTACATGGTGATGAAAGAGTCCGATTCCTCCAAGGTAATGAAGGCAGAACGCGCAACATTTCATAGGACTGGTAGCCTTTGGTTGAATTTCGCGCTATGAATGTCACTTATCACTGCACATGTCACCAGCACAAGGAGAAGTTGGACAAGTTGCGTCAGCAGGCAGAGCAGGCCTGTAATCGCCTTGGTCGCTTCAGGATGCCTTTCGCCTGGACAGCGATTCATCTTCTCAACATTGTCAGCAGCGTTGGAGGTCTGGAGCGGTCCGATCCAGATTCCGACACTGGTACGACAGACTGAACATTCCCTCACGAGCAATAGACTATTCATGAAATAAGTAAAAAAAATACCTCAGGCTCAAATACAATCACACATAAAAAGGTTTTCCTTTTAACCATGATTAACCATGTGCTATTATTTATATATTATTTATATATATAAATATATATATTTATATGTAAAATACATTTTTATTGAATTAAAATATAAAAAACATTTTTTAATAATTTTAAAAAATTTAAATAATTTTTTTTTTCTTACTTTTATCTCTGTTACGATGTCTTACTACCAGAGCGAAAAAGTCACGGAACATGGAACGAGAAGAAAAAGAAAGGGTTCGAAAGGATGAGCATCGGTGACGACGTGTGCAACTTCGCCTCTTTCCGACCAGCAACATTGACCGTCACCAACTTCTTCAAGCAGGTCAGACTCCGGTTCGGTCATTAATTTTTAGGGTCATTGACTAACTCACAATTTAACACTTTTTTTTTTTCAAGGTGTCACACCCTGTCAGAAAAATTGGTATAATTATAGGTCTGTCCAAATGAAGGTTTTAATCATGTTTAATTGTTTGCGGCAATGAACACGCCTGACACTGACACATTAACACACAGTGATTTATAGGGTGTCAGCTTCAAAACCAACACTGTGATAGATGAATTAACATGCTCCATGTTACAGTCAAGGCAGCTTAAATGAATGTAGTGGAACAGCTCCATAGGGAGAAAGACAGATAGACACATGACGTCGTGAAACATTTCATCTAAAGCTTTGAAGTTACATTATAACTACTGTAAAGGTCAGGTGTCAGGTGTAATATAAATATGTCTTCTCTGTGGCTCAAACCACTGCAGTTGACTCAAAGACATCTTCATGGTATTAGGGCCTTATGCACAGAGGTGTCTTCAGTGCAAATAATCACCGTTTGTGCTGAAAAAAAAAAAATCCGTAACACTGCGCTCATGATTCCTGTCATTGACAATCAATCAATCCCATGTAGAAATTATGTAAAAAAAATATATATATATAAAATTTACTTCCAAATAGAGTGAAATATACAACACAGTTCAGAGTGCAGTTGGCATGTACATGAACTTGTTTAATATTATTAGTAGTTAAAAAAATGGCATGACACGTGAATAGGATTCATCGAGGAGACATTTTATTTTAAATGTTTTGCATTGCTGTTGCTATTTTTTTATATTGGTAGAATTTGTATTATATACAAAGCTTCCTCTCAGAAATAAGAATTTATTTCAATAATATTCAAAAATGTCTCCATTGACATCTAATTTGTGTACATTTTTTCGTTTACTTCCCGACTCTCGTTTCTAAAGGAGGGAGACAGACTAAGCGACGAGGACCTCTACAAGTTTTTAGCAGATATGCGCAGACCGTCGTCTGTTCTGCGGAGACTGCGACCCGTCACAGGTGAGAGAGACTCGCACTTCATCCTGCAGTCGCCTGTGTAGCTCCTGTTGGGTGACGATTTGTCCTGTGTTTTCTAATCCTCAGCCCAGTTGAAGATTGACATCTCTCCAGCTCCAGAACAGCCTCATTACTGTCTGTCACCAGAGCTGCTCCACATAAAACCGTATCCTGACCTGCGCGTCCGGCCCACAAAGGAGGTGCAGGAGTTTCCCACTCGCTACGTGTACACTCCGCACACCGTGTACAGGTGAATGTTTTCCCACATCACACAAGCATGAGCACACACAGACGGAGGCAAACTGCACGTTAACCAACAGAACAAACACTCACGCTGCCACGGGCTGTCTGTCTGTCTGTCTCGCTGTCGGCAGTGTTAAATAAAGAGGCTAACGGGTTGTCAAAATGCGTTGCTGATAACCCTTGACATTGTTTGCTGAAAGACAATCTTCTAATAAATTAATAACTTTGTATAAAAGGCGAACGTTAGGAGGGGAAAAAAAAATACCCCCAAAAATTCAGCACATGAGTAACTGTCCCCGTGTCAATGTGTGTAACTGCCTCTGATTGGCTCAGAGATAGATGCTATTGCAGGTCATGCATGTGTGTAAAAAGTTCAATGTCGTCACCGTGACCGTCACATGCTCACACTGAACCAAACTGTGTGTACGAAACCTCAGAAAAATGTGTTTCATCGTATAGGAAAACATATAAACTACAACAGAACCCTACAGAAATATACAGTCATATATTACACGTGTGTTTTTTACATAGTAGGGAGTGCAGTGAGATTAAGGCAGATCCAACTCCTTTTTTTTTTAAGAGCTGCACAGACTTGAAGACATCAGCGTGGAATCATAAATCTGTGTCATGACTCTAAAAAAAGAAGAACGTAATATTTAAAAAAAAAAAAGAAGAAAAAGAACGACATAAAAAGAACATCTGATCGAGCTTTTTCAACAAGAGCCTCACCATTTTCTGCAGCACGGCGAGCTGCTCGTTCTGGGTCTTGATGTTCTCCTTCTGAAACTGGGTCAGAAGCTGTAAGACTTTCAACATTTTCGAGTGTTCCCGTGCTCGCTCCTGCAAGCAGGAAGCACGTGGAAGTAACCCAATTTCTTCAAATCGCAAGCGCTATCGCTATGTGTTGAAATTCGTCAGCCCGTACGTCAGCTTTCTGTTACCTGCAGATCTCTGAGCCCGCTGGGCGCGGCGTTGCCCAGATACGTCTCCAGCCTCCTTACTTTTGTCTTCAGCTCCGCCTCTTCCTGCTCTATGCTGACCAGCCGGTCTTTAGTCCTCATGGTCTGAAGTCTTTGCTTGGCCATCTGGCTCTGCCAAAAAAAAAAAGAACATCTGCCAAGATTATCCCCTTCGTAGACCACTGATCCCACTGCAGCTGGCAGCGGCTGATGGAACGTTGCAACACGCAGCTATGTCACAACCTTATCACAGACATTGATTTAACCATGATGCTTCAAGAAATTGAATTTGCGTCGTTATCTGGTGTTGCAATGTGCAAAACTTGATTTAATTCATATTTTTCTATTTTTAAATGTCTTCTCTGCCCATGCATGTTGCGGCTTCTGATCTGCGGGCAATCTCTCTCTTAGCCGCAGCAACACGAAAACATGAAGATTCACATCATTGTTTGCATTTTTCGCCGTTTTTTTTTTGTTGTCCTACCTGCAGCGACCCTATCACATCTTTCATCTGCTTTTCCTCCACGGCAGCCTGCTCCGTCTCCTTAAACAGTTCCTGCAGAGTCCACTCGTGGCTCTTCAGGGCCTCGGTGATTTTGGCGAGCTTCGCCTGAGTTGTTTGGTAAACATAGCTGAGGGATTCGCTGAACTGTACTACGCCAAACATGAGCACGTTGACTTCCTCCTGCGGCGCGGCCCCGTCTTCCACCTTGCCGCTCTTCGGAAGCCGACCCGCGTGAACTGTTCCCAAAGCAGCGACACAGAGCAAACACAGGCCCCAGGTCATCTTCAAACGCTTAGTGTGTTGAAAGATCTCACACGTGGATTTCGCCGCAACTTAGCCTTGTGGAGAGAAAGAGAGAAAAAAAAATCTCTTAATCTAAAATGATGATTGCAGCTGTGTGCATCAGCAGGTAACACCCCTCAGTGATCGATCTGCAGTTTGGTCAAAGTGACTTATATTGCTTGTGTGCATGCAAAAGCTGGTAAAATATTAGCTCAGCTGAGCTCTCTGGCCTTAGTCTCACTGACCTTGCCTTGAAGTTTAAACTCAAAGAAACACATTTTGTAATTTAGGTCACAAAAGTGACATAAATATGACAGCAATTGAAGTAAATTTAATATGTATGTATATATATATATATTTATTTATATATTTTTTTTTTTTTTTTTTTTTTTTTTTTTTAAGAAAAAAGATTCATGGCTTTGTTAGAAATATTGTTCGTAGTTGAATTTATTTTTAACAATAATGTCAAAGGATATTTAATGGGGGCCATCGACTTACCTCGGAATTCCGGTCCTCTCGCACGACATAACTTGTTGAAACTCGCATACTGTACATAAGTCACTCACCTACGCTAGCACAGTGTTAACATCATAATCTAGGACATAACAAAAACCTCCGAAGAGTCTGACTAACAATTGGGAGCCATAATGAAGGGCAGAAAGTTCCGAAAAACCCAATGTAAATGAAGGAAAGTAAATGTAGCAAATTGTATGGCGTACAACTGACGGATGTAAACAAAGCCGTCTTCTGCATATAGTACAGTATTTGTAGTTCCATGCAAGATTTGTTTTAACCCTCTATGTAAGAATGTTAAAACAAGACTTTCTTAATACATGTGCACATGTTCTTAAAACATTAGCCCAGAAACCCTATAGGTCGAGGACGTTAATAAAATCCTAATTTGATTATCAGCACCTTTTATTTCTTTGGCATGATCCTAATATTAATACTTTCAACTTTATTAATATCCCACAATTCCTGTGTTAACAACAGCTCTGTTGCAACAGGCAGTACGTTGTTCCTCTGGGAATTGAACCCAGGACTACACGCTCTGCGCTTTTGAAGCATGCGCGCTAACTGCTACGCTATGGAACCACCGAAAATACAAAAATTTGAAAAGCTAGACATTGAGTTTTTGTTAGTAGTGCTTCAGTAGTGTTTTGACGATTTTTGTCCCCTTCCTTCACGCTCCCTACCGCCGAAGAATTCCTTCTTCTACTCAGCGACAGAACAGAATGTGACATGATTACGCAGAAAAACACGCGGTCGGCTAAACAGATGGCGACATTTGTGAAGCGTGGAGCAGATAACGATTTAAATGTTTGAAGTTTCTCTCCAAACACTATGGTCGGTGCTGAGAGTTTTGCTGCCCCTGTGAAGCTGATGCTTAACTTTTGCACGGGTTGATGAAAAGAAAATTCCCGCTGTGCTTTTGTGACAAACACAAAGCCTAAGTCCTTCGCTATGTTCCATGCCAGTCAAATGAAGCCTGTGAACTTTCCGGCTGTGGAAACGGTAATACCAGAAAATGAGAGGGGGGAAAAAAATATATACTCTCTAATTCATTTTTTTTTCTTTCTTTCAGGAATGTGCTTTATGTTTACCCACAATCCCTGAACTTCAGCAGTCGTCAGGGTTCAGTGAGAAACATCGCGGTGAAGGTGCAGTTCATGGCAGCAGAAGACCCCAGTCAGGCTTTGCCGGTGAGTCACCCCCGCTACTGCAATGTTCTTGAGTCTGAATCACACGTGTCAAACTCAAGGCCCGGGGGCCAAATGCGGTCCGCCGAGCTGTTATGTGTGGCCCGCGCGAGCTTGAAAAAGCATTAAGTAAAGTCCATGCAGCAGAGTTTTCTAACCTAATAAAAACATAATAACACATAATTACACAGCAATGAACAATATTTGTAGCTTGAATTTCTAACCTAATAAAAACATAACACATAATTACACAGCAATGAACAATATTTGTAGCTTGAATAAATACTGCAATAATCAATAACAGAAAAACATGTATTAGTCTGTTATGGAGTAGTTACAGCTATACCAGGATCATTCAATTTTCAAAAATAAAACATCTTTTAGACTCTATTCTGTTTGTATCAGAATCTGAACGACCTATTATTTTAAAATATTGTCAGATTATTTATTAAATAAAGAAAGTAAATAGATATGACTGGATTTTCTTTGAATGAAGTAAATTAGTAAAACATTAAGTACATTTTTTTCCCCATCTATGGACCATTACTGGTCCACGGACCAGAGGTTGGGCACCCCTGATCTATATAGTCTTGCATTTATTAAAAATTAAATTTTTTTCCCACCTATGGACCATTACTGGTCCACGGACCAGAGGTTGGGCACCCCTGATTTATACAGTCTTGCATTTACAACCGGCCCTTCAAGGGCAACTGTATTGCTGATGTCGCCCCCTGGTGGAAATGAGTTTGACACCGCTGGTCTAAATGAAATAGTACTCTCAACTCGAACCATTGTCAGAGAGATTTGACAACTGACAACTGTAGTTACATATAAGTATCTTGAACTTTTTGAAATATTTAACAACAAGCCATGTCGCTATTATTTGTTTAGTCGATCCCTGCAAAGTAAATTGTGATCTGGGGTGGGGGTTTTTTGTAATCAGTGCTTTTTGGAAAAAAAATAAAAAGTGAACAGGATCAATTTAAGACTGGTTTGTTTTCTAAATTACTGAGTAAAAGTACTGATTTTCTTGTAGATGACTGAAATCAAGTTGGCCTGTTATTGTTATGATGCAGTTGTGTGTTTGTGTAAATCTGTCATCTTGACCAGGTCATATTTGGAAAGTCGAGCTGCGCTGAGTTCATGACCGAGGCGTACACCCCTGTCATCTACCACAACAAGTAAGACGAGCTCATTTCAATGGGCAAAAACGATCGATCGCTTCTTCCCATAAACTTTGACTTTAACTCTTCCCTCCAAGGTCTCCGGAGTTTTACGAGGAGATAAAGATGAAGATTCCTGCCAATTTGACAGACAACCACCATCTGTTGTTTACCTTTTACCACATCAGCTGCCAGCCCAAACAGAACACTCCTCTGGAGAGCCCTGTGGGATACACTGTGAGCGTGCGCCTTCTCTCCACCAGCGTTTGACACATTATTCCACACCCTTCCACGTTGGAACACTTCCTCTGTCGTCCTTGGCATTGGTTAAAGGTTTTGTGTTTCTCTTCATCTTCCTTCAGTGGATTCCTCTGATGCAGCACGGGCGACTGCGCACGGGCTCCTTCAGTCTGCCCGTCTCTGTGGAGAAGCCTCCTCCCAGTTACTCCGTGCTCACTCCCGACGTGAGTGTGTTTGAATTTCCCATTTTGCTGTCGTCACCTGCTGCTTGTGACATGACGGAATTTTTTTTGATTGGTTTGGATGACGCTCTCCGTCGCAGGTTCAGCTGCCAGGCATGAAGTGGGTGGATAATCACAAAGCAGTGTTTAACGTGGAGGTGACGGCATCCTCCTCCGTTCACACACAGGTACACAAGTGTATGCTTTTCAAACTGAACAACGATAATTATGGTTCTTTTATTTCACATGGTCCCCTATGGAGTCTTAACGGTGACTCATCTGCCTCCAACTCCAACCATATCCACCGCCTCCTCTACTTTCACACCAACAATCTCCATCCATTCTCTATTGTGACTTTAAATTACTCTGACCCTGGGTATCCAAACTCATCCAGCCTTACAATCATTATTCTGCAGGTTTATCTTTTAACTCTCCTCACTCTCATTTACAAACATGTATTCTGTTTTGCTCCTGCTGACCTGTAGTCCTCTCTGCTCCGAGGCAAAACCGCCACCTTTCCAGGTTTTCTTCCACCTGCTCCCTACACTCGCCACGGTCGACACTGTCGTCTGCAAACATCACGGTCCAGGGAGCCTCGTGTCTGACCTCACCTATCAACTTGTCCCATAGTAAATAGAAAAAAAGGGCCTCAGAGTTTGACCTCGATGTAACCCCACCGCTACCTTAAACCCATCAGTCACTCCGACCGCACACCTAAATATTGTTTCAGTGGTTTTCACTTGTCCTGCACTACCCTCACATGCTTTTCTGCCACTCCTGACTCCCTCATAAAATACACTACCACAGTTCCCCCCCCTCTATGATATGATTTCTCTTAGTCCACAACGACCATTTGAAATCGGCTGTAGTTAGCTTAGATGTAGTGTAGCTTGTCGGTTGGCTCCGAATAATTTTGAAACTGCTACTTGTTCACTTATTCGTTGTACCCTAGGATCCTCATCTGGACAAGTTCTTTACGCTGGTCTACGTTCTGGAGGAGTACTCTTTACCTTTCCGCCTGAAGGACGTGATCATCACCGAGGCTAACATGGAAGCGGAGCTGAAGGCCAGCATTGCCGGACTAAGACACGCGCTGCTGGATACCTGCGTCGGGTTTTTACACCAGCTGCTCAACAAGCTGATTCAGCTCATTGTCTACCCACCTGTCATTGGTGGTCAGATTGGTGAGTGTTGGGGGAAGTACGAAAATACTGAAGGAAATACCGCAATGAACTGACTCAGTAGGCTAACTTGGCTAACAACATTTGTATTACTATCCTTGTAGTAATTACAATGAAGTAGCCATAGTGAGAGCGGCTGTGATCCAATGACTTTGAGTGGACATCAACGGTTGTAGTTTCGCTCTTGAGATAATTTTTAATTTGAAATATCTAATTAACATTGTTGGGTGCAGTGAGATATAATTCTTTCATTTTTTTAATATTACATTCTCTCTGACATACATCAACGGCTGTAGTTTCGCTCTTGAGATTTTAATTTGAAATATCTAATTAACCTTGTTGGGTGCAATGATATATTATTCTTTCATTTTTTTTAATATTACATTCTCTCTGACAGGGCCTTGGTGGCCAGGCGCTTAAATAAAATGCAATAAAAATGACATTTTTGTCTAACATTATTATTTGATGTTCATTTTGGAACAACAGTACATATTTCCACTTGTTTTTATCTGTCTTTTTATGCTCCTTTCATGTTTCAACGCAGTGAACCTGGGCCGAGGTGCCTTCGAGGCTATGGCATTATTGGTCAACCAGATGCACAAGAACCTGGAGGGGAACCAGGATCAGCACGGTCGCAACAACCTGCTGGCATCTTACATCCACTACTGTTTCCGTCTCCCCACCGCAGAGCCTACGGTGCCCCCTGCAGGTCAGTCATTAGACTGGGCTGCACAAAAAAATTTTCCCAGACCTTTTTTTTTTCCCCCCCAGTTTTCTGTAAATTTACGCTGGTCTTTTCCCTGTAAGCAGGAGCCCAGCAGTACGAGATGCCGATCCAGTACGCCACACTTACCAGAGCCCCCGCTCGTCCCAGCAGCCTGCACTTATCACGGTCGAAAAGCATCAGCAATTCGAACCCCGACCTGGCCACTACTCCCGTTTCTCCTGATGAGGAAGTACAGCGAATTATTGGAAGCAAAGTGAGTTTTTTTTTTTTCGTTTTTTTTTAATGATGCATTTATTACTTGAACATGTAAACTTAAAAAAGCAACAAAAAAATAGACATTCAAAAGTCTAATAAGCTAGTGATGTGATAGTGATGTTATTGTTGCACATTTGTACAATCTCTGGTGTGTTGTATTTCTTTCTTAATTTTTCTCGTTCTTTCTCAATGTTTAGAAATGCAGTCTTCATTTTTCACACACACACACACACATAAATTACACACACATACATTTTTTTATTTTACAGCGACATGGACACACAAGGGTTGCTGCTTAGGTCCAAGATGTGATTTTGCTTACCGCTACAGTCCTGTGTGATTTATTCAGTACTTTCTGCCTTCCCCTTTTTTCCCCACTTCACGTCTCACTTTCTTTGTTTGTATTATTTTTTTTTTTCCTCTCTGTCATATAATCTTCTCTGTGGAAATTACCTCCCCTTTACTCACAGTGCCCCTGCCTCTTGCCGGTTTGTGTGTGTGTTTGTGTTTTTTTCCTGTGTGGCCTCTGGTGGCTAATGGCAGGGCATTGACCGCTCTCACTCCTGGGTAAACTCCGCTTATGCCCCCGGTGGCTCCAGATCTGTGCTACGTCGGAACCCCAACTCCAGTTGTGAGCTCAAGCAGGTGCAAAATCCCTTTTTTTCCTTAACTTTCTTCCTCTCGTCCTCACCTTTGTCACCTCCATCTCTCTCAGCGTGGCTCGACCGCCCGCTCATCGCTGCCGTCACTGTGCACGCTTTTACGTCTGTTTGTGCATCACAGCAAGCTGTGTCCGTCCTCCTAACGTCATGCACCCACAGCCGCGCAACTACACAAATCTGCTCCGATTGAATCACACGTTTCCCCCCCCCACCATCCCTAACCATCCGTCCTTTCCACCTCACTTGTCCTCATCTGTGTGTTGTTGTTGTTCACCTCACCATCACCCCACGTCAGGCAAACGACCGCAGCTGCAATCGTAGTTCTGCCTTTCTGGACAACGTGACCATGTATTCAGTTTTCCCAAGGCAAATTACCAAGAAGGTAAAACTGGCATTTGCTGTTAGAACAGTAGTAAAAACCTGCTGTCTGTCCCTTCTCATTGTCATTGAAGTCATCTTTCACTGTTATTAACAGTAATTATTTTTTTTATTCTTACACTAACACTCAGATAATTGTGTGATTAACGGGTGACATTTATTTTTAACATTTTCACTTTTCACTTTATTTCCTAATAATGAGCCACAATGTTAACTTATAAATGCCGCTGCACAAACGTTATTTTTTTGTTTGTTTGTTTTTTTTCTAAAATGCATTCAAAACCACAACATTTTGTACAATTTTAATTGTTACATTTTTATTAATCAGGCATAAAGACACGGCAACAGTGTTTCTGCCTTTATCCTTAAATTAATTTTTTGAATGTAAACAAATTTAGAAGTGTCTGTAACGCACACCGAGGAAGTGAGGGCTGGGGGTTGCACTCATTTTTTCAGAGTTGAGGATTCTTAATTCAATTTTTGCTCTTTGCGCCTCGAAAAACTTAAACTTCTGAATCGTCTGAAGTCACTCTTGCTATTATGCTGCTGAGATGTTCAATTGGAGACGGACCTAAACTGGTGATAATGATGATGTCTAAATTTTTTCCTGCTAAATAACATAACATATAATAATTAATAATAACATAATCACCTATAAGTAACAGTAAGTACAATTTTTTCCCATTTGTTTTCCTGCAAATATTTTTAAAACGTCAGTAACAGACAGTGTTTTTGCATTTTTTTACTTTCGACATTCATCAAGCGGGCCGCATTGAACCCCCCGAACGGGCAGGTTTTGGCCCATGGGCCATATGTTTGACCCCCCTGCCCTAGACCACGGTCCACTGATGCACATGTATCCCATTACAGAGGCTGACTTTTGCATCATTCTATGATAAGAACCTTGATGGTCATTTTTATCTTCATCTTGCACGTAGAGTCAAGCGTTCGTTTTTCTCCAAACAACCAAATTGTCATCGTCCACGAAAAGGACTTCATTATCCGCATCTTCACTGATGTGGTGGACTGCATTAAGTTACATTATTTTCGCCCTGAAACACTGATAGTCCTCACAGCGAAGTGTCTTTTGCCACGACCATTCACTTGTAAACAGAACACAGACCTGTCCCGAAGACAAACTTTGGCGAACGCTACTTTTCAGTTTTTTTTTTATTTTGCTCATGTTTCAACGTTTTGCAAGTGTGTGTGTGTTACCGGCATCCATTTCTAACTAGGTGTCTTTTGCCACGACCATTTATTTTGCTCATGTTTCAACATTTTGCAAGTGTGTGTGTTACCGGCATCCATTTCTAAATGGGTTTATGTTCCTAGATTTTGCCAAAGAAAACATTCAGATTCTGATTTTTTTTTTTGCTGGCTGATTCAGGTTTAACCCAACTGCCAAATTACATATTTTGTTTATATTGCACGCATGGTTTATTCTCTGCTTATCATGTCTTAATATGTGCCTAAATTGCCTTGGTATCCGTTCCCGTCCATAGCTTCTCCACGAGGAGCTGGCCTTACAGTGGGTGGTCAGCACCAGTGCAGTGAGGGAGGCGGCGCTGCAACAGGCCTGGTTTTTCTTTCAGCTCATGGTGAGTGTTTCACGGTAGTTTATCAAACTCGACCCGTTGATAAAAGAGCCGTAAATCTCAAAAGACAATTCTCTGTTTTCCTTTAACCTGCAGACAAAGAGCATGGCACACCACCTATTCCTGACCTCCAAATTAGACATTCCCAGACGTCAGCGTTTCCCCGACCGCTTTGTGGATGATATCGCTGCTCTTGTGTGTGCCATTAGTGCAGACATTGCCGGCAGATATCACAAGGTAGATTTCTTCTTTTTTTTTTCTTTTTTTTCCTTAAACCTTTGTTTTTTTGCACTACACTCGTAAACCTTCCCTTCCTCCTTCTCAGGATGTGGAGCTGGTGGAGAGGTTAAACAACAGTCTGGCCTTTTTCCTGAACGAACTATTGTCTCTGATGGACCGGGGGTTCGTGTTCAACCTCATCCGTTCCTACTACAAACAGGTGCCTGTTCTGCTCAACTCCTCTAAATACCCGAGGATTTAAAATGTCCAGCGTTTCAAGTGTTTCGATATTAACATTTTTGATTTAGTGTAAAGGTTGGGGTCCATATGAACTTGAATTATTATTTGTGTTGTACAGATTTCCAACAAGCTCCACACGGCGCAAAACCCCAGCTCCCTAAACGCACTGAGGATAGACTTCATGCGAATTGTCTGCAGCCACGAACACTACGTCGCCCTCAACCTGCCGTGTTCCACCCTGAGTCCTCCAGCTTCTCCGTCCCCCTCAACTTCCTCCACCACCTCACAGGTAGTTTTTGTAGTCCTGCACTTTCCGAGAATTTCTGTACGCTTAAATAAGTATAAATCTAGCAACTACGTGGTTTGTTTGCTAAACGTCATGTTTATATATATATAAATACTTCATCTTCTACTTCTCCTTCTGTAGAGCTCAGCATTTTCCAGTACAGTGCATGACCAGCGTGTGGCCTCCATGTTCGAGCTGTCAGTCCCCTTCCGTCAACAGCATTTCCTTGCTGGTTTGCTGCTCAGCGAGCTCAGTCTCATCCTGGATCCTGATGGAGAAGGGTTGGTTCTCATTATTCACGTAGAGAGTATTTTTGGAATTAGGTTATACAAAACCTATGCAGGACAAATACATCTTGTTTTTTGTTTTTTTTGGGAACTTCTTGCCCTCTATTATGGCTCCCAACGTTAGACTCTTCTAATGCTACCGCTATGTTAGCCTAGGTCAGTGACTTTCTACTTAACTTAAGGCAAAAATCAAGTTGCGCTGCGCCATAAGAACGGAATTCCGACGTCAGTCGTGGGCCCCAGGATACCTGTTTAAATTAATTTACCGAGAACACCTGGATGTTTATAAAAAATATAAATAAATATATAAAATATATATTATATATATATATATATAATATATATTTTATATATTTATTTATATTTTTTATAAACATCCAGGTGTTGACAAATGATTAATTGGAGAAAGACAACAATAGTATCAGTGACAGTGTTGCATTGAATATTCTTGGCTCTGTTGAAGGTATCAAAGGATGGGATTTACAAAAAAAAAAAAATATATATATAAATACCTGCAAGTTGTAGTAGTTACAAATAAAGATGATGAAGTAGCATATTACAAAATTAAAAAATAAAAAATATATAAATACCTGCAAGTTGTAGTACTTACAAATAAAGATGATGAAGTAGCATAAACTAGCCATAAAATGCTATAAAGTGAACTATCTTAAATACCTTCTTTGGCTTCTTCAAGCTATACGGTACATCACAGCACATAATGCATTTCGAATTATGTACCCTCAGAAGTTCACTTTTTGTTCTCCCCGCAGGGTTTTCTTCCTCCATAAAAAGGCCATAAGTGCTGTTCACTCACTGCTGTGCAGCCACGACGCAGACCCTCGCTACAGCGACCCACAGGTCAGAGCCTATGTGGCTCAGCTGTACCTGCCCCTCCTACCCATTGTCATGGAGTCCTTACATCAGCTCCATGACTTCTCCGGTCAGCAGAACACTCGCGCACTAATTGAATGCCAGCGTTTCATTCTTTTTATATTCACACCTGACTGCGCCTTTCATCTTCTCTCCACAGAGTCCTCTCATTTTCGGGTTCGGCATGCCTCGGCCCACGCCGACAATACTGACCTAGACGGAAGCAGCACTATCAGTCAGTCTGTTGCCATGGCGATCGCTGGCTCCCCTTTGCCTCATGCCAAAACCAACACATTTTCTCTGCCCACAGTGGTGAGTGATGAGCGGTCAGGGTCGACGGGTTTACAGGTTGCATGGAAATGAATCGTGATCACCTTTGTTAGGCAAAGATTCTTTTAATTCTTCAAAATACCAATGTTTATTGGGGCCATAAATTTTAAACGTTTTTGGTCCCAATAAGTCTTTGGTAAGGATTAGGTATGGCTCAAAACTCAGGATCGGTATTGGTCCGATACTGGTCAAAATTCCAGACAAATACAACTATAATCCGTCCGATCCAATACATAATGCTCCACTTGGAGCAACATGCCGTAAACAGGGACACTATCACCTCAGCAGCGCGTCTGAGAAGAAAAAGAAACTTTATATAATTTCAAAAATTATACATCTACACCCCAGACATGCACAGACAAACTGATTATATTTTTAGATTTTTCATTTTACTTGATCCAACCAGTTTTCTGGTTTATAAATACTGTAAATGTCTGCAATTGTTTCCAGTTATAGAATCATTCATACTTTAATGTCTTGGTCATTGACTTGACAATGGTTTATCAGTTACTTCACATTGATACACGCGCACCTACTGGTATCCCAGTGTTACTTTTTTTGGTCATGTATTTCAATGGAATATCAGTCCTGGTACCAATGCTAGCATCGGTATCAGTGCGTCCCTATTTTAAAACGGCAAAACATTTCAGTGAGTTTCAGCAGATAAGTCTACTTCCTGCTGGTGCTTCCTCTTTGTCACCTCGGGGGACTTTAAGAACCAAGGATTGATGATAATCTGCATTTGCGCTAATAGTCTTTCCTGTTACATCATTCATCATCTGGCATAGAGGCTTTGTCGGAGGCGGAGGAGTTCACTCCTAAATGTTTTCAGAAATGTTTGGGCTGGGTCTGTTTTCATATCTCTTTCGTGTGTTGTTCAAGTCAATGAACTTGAAGGAAAGCTAAACAAAAATGACACACCGTTTTCATGTTTGTCCTCATCAGGCCGGGCGTCAGTCCGGCTCGCTGTCTGCAGAGTGCAGCAGAACTCTGCTGGTCTGTTTTCTGTGGGTGCTGAAGAATGCAGATGCAGCTCTCCTGGAGCGCTGGGTCTCCGATTTGTCCGTGTTGCAAATCAATCGCCTTCTGGATCTGCTGCATCTCAGCGTCTCCTGCTTTGAATACAAGGTGGGACAGATAGTCCAGCTCGCTCATGTTCTTTATTTAAGCTCGGCCCAGTCAGAGCAACGGCACATTCCAGAAACTTTACATTTTTGTTTGCACCTCGATGTTTTAGTTTTGTCTAATCCAAAATGTTTGTTTATTAAAGGGAAAAAAGACTCTCGAAAGGATCAACAGCCTTACGTTCAAGAAGTCTCAGGATATGAAGGCCCGACTGGAGGAGGCCATACTGGGAACAATAGGAGCTCGTCAGGAGATGGTCCGCCGCTGTCGAGGTGTGTGCGTGTGCGAGCGCACGCTTGTGCAGTCACGTGTCAGTCAACTGCCTTTGTTTTGGATATGTGTTTTTAATGTACATAATTGAATGTGCTCATTCTTCCAGAGAGGAGTCCATATGGCAGCCAGGAGAACGTTAGGTGGAGAAAGAACGTCACTCACTGGAGACAAAACACAGACAGAGTTGACAAGTAGGTTGATCATCATTGTTTGTGTCAACAGTGAGGCTAAAAAAAAAAAGTGAGAAAAGAACGAAAGAAAAATCTACCTCAGTAAACACCAAGTTGAACCGAGTCCTTAGAAGGAGAGCTTATGTTTCTGTGTACAAGGTGTAAAAAAATACTTGAGGTTAAGAATATTGTTGAAAGTACAGTTGAAAAAAAATGGATGTTCAAAATACCTAAGAGCTAGCAAGAATGTTGCTATAAAGGGAGACATAATAGCATATATATATAGCATATATACATATATGTATATATGTACAAATATACACATATATGTATACATATATACATATATACAGATATATGTATACATATATACATATATACACATATATGTATATATATATATACGTATATATGTGTATATATGTATATATGTATACATATACTGTATCTGTATATATGTGTATATATGTATATATGTATACATATATGTGTATATATGTATATATGTATACATATACTGTATCTGTATATATGTGTATATATGTATATATGTATACATATACTGTATCTGTATATATGTGTATATATGTATATACATACATACTCTGAAACTACCTTTAAGTTTGTCAAGCCACATTTTTGCTAAAATCTTATATTCTAGTGCTGTCAAAATACAGCAACATTATTGAAAGTATTAAAAAAAGTGTTAATCATACATGTCTTTAAAGTGCAGTCACTGTATGTGATTTAAGGAGAAGCCATTCAGTCAAAGAAAACCGAATATTTCTCATGTGGACGTGTGTTTCAAAAACAAACCTCTTCGTGCTTCTTTCTGCAGTGTAACATAAAATAAGATGTGATGGTTACGATTGGGCACAAACTTTGTTCCAGGACTAAAGCAGAAATGGAGCAGGAGTCTGTGGTGGATGGAAACTTGGCCACCGAGGGAGCTCTCATCGTCCTGGACACACTGGAGATCATAGTGAAGGTAAATGCGCACCAGCCCACACCAGCTGTTGACACACATCTTGTGGAGAAAAGTCCGCTGCAACGTGTACTTTAACTTTCAGACTGTGGTGGCGTCGGAGCTGAAGGAGAGTGTTTTAGGCGGGGTGCTGCGAGTGCTTCTCCACAGCATGGCAGGCAACCAGAGTGCCCTCTTTCTGCAGCACTGCTTCACTACACAGAGGGCTCTGGTGTTCAAGGCAAGGCCACCTTCACAGTTTTTCACAGTTTTCCCTTGTCAGCGATGCTGCCGTGTAATGTTCATGTAACGAATGCTTTTGTTTACAGTTCCCAGAGATGCTGTTTGAAGAGGACACCGAGCTTTGCGCAGACCTTTGTTTACGGCTCCTCCGCCACTGCGGCAGCAGCGTCAGCTCCGTTAGAAGTCACGCTTCTGCTTCTCTTTACCTGCTCATGAGGCAGAACTTTGAGATAGGAAATGTACGTTTTCACAAGGTTTTGTATTCTTCACATTCTTCATCATCAGGGACGCACACTTAAGTTTTTATTATTTGTCACTTACACTCGAAAACAGTTTATTGACTGGTCTACATTTCTAAGATTCCAATTAGAAATTGTATGTTAAAGCATTCATTTATTTTAAAAGTACTTGCAAAAACTTGCAGAATACACTACAGAAATTGCATAAATATCAAAAATGAGTTATATAGGATAATGGTTAGCTGAACTGTTAACCATAATTGCTAAAAGTTAGCCACAAATGTAGATAAATGACCAAGGTTATTCTAAAAGGTTTAACAAAGAGTTATTGAATAAAGAAAAAAAAAATCTGAACAGAATTCAATCAAATAAAAATTAGTCAGAAAAACAAAATTATGCCGATTCCCATCCCTAGCTCTGCAATTGATAAAAGTTGCTAAAAATGTAGCAACAGGACAAAATAGAGCGATAGCCCAACAAAAAAGTAGAAATGAAAAATAGGTCTTGAATAAAAATGATGATATTTCCTCAGCCGATACCATAAGTGTTAATTTTTTTTTTAAAGCTTAATGATGGATTTAAATAAGATTCGAGTTGGAAATGAATAATAACTGATAACTGTACTGTCTAGCTTTTAGCCCAATGACCAACATCATATGTCCTGTCTTCCTGTTGCTGCAGAACTTTGCCCGAGTTAAGATGCAGGTCACCATGTCTCTGTCTTCGCTGGTCGGAACGTCGCAGAACTTTAACGAGGACCATCTTCGTCATTCACTCAAGACGATTCTAACATATGCGGAGGACGACTTGGAGCTGCGTGAGACTCCTTTTCCAGAGCAGGTATGCATGCGGCCACAGCCGCTGTCTGCTCTCCGCATTATCCAGATGTGATGTCACTTTCCGGGGCCTCTACTACCGCACTGCCTTTTGTAACTGCAGGTCCAGGATCTTGTGTTCAATCTGCACATGATTCTTACTGACACTGTGAAGATGAAGGAACACCAGCAGGACCCCGAGATGCTCATTGATCTCATGTACAGGTACCAGAATCCTCCTCTGTGGCATTAAAGAGGGACTTACTAAAATAAAATTGAAATTTAAAATTTTTTTTTTATTATTTCAGGATTGCTAAAGGCTACCAGAACTCGCCAGATCTGCGCCTCACGTGGCTCCAGAACATGGCAGGGAAACATTCAGAAAGAGGAAACCACGCAGAGGCCGCGCACTGTCTTGTCCACAGCGCCGCCCTGGTTGCAGAATACCTCAACATGCTGGAGGACTGTCGCTACCTGCCGATTGGTTGTGTCACATTTCAGGTGAGTTCGGGTTTGTTTGCAAAATATTTAACTGCAATAATAATGAAAAAAAAAAAAGTATCTGTTTTTATTTTGACTGGACTCCCTTGTGGTTTTATTCTCTGAGTCATGACGTTGTTAGTGATTAATCAAAAAAGACATGCGGCTACACAGCTCTGTTAGTCATAAAAAAATTGGTAGTTAGTCACTGAAACACCAAACTCAGATGCCTGGTGAGTAACAACCTCCGCCCCTTTCAAAACAAAGCAATTATATATTATTTATGAATTTAAATTAAAAAACGAATTTAGAAAAAAAAATGTCAACAATGTTTTACAGTATAAAATAATTACCTATTTTATTATTTGTTAGAAGGTACAAACTATGTATAATTATAGCTGATAATTCCAGTCACATGCAAAATTGTTGGACTTTTCCAAGCAAACTGCCGAGAGCTCTGTAGTCTCTCGGTAGACTGACCTAGTCCTATTTGAGGGTAACATTTCAAAACCCTCGGTCATTTGAGACTGTAAGGCAATGACTTTGAGGTTTCAGAGAGAAAAGAAAATTATACTTTTGCTTCAGGGCCACCGCCGAGCCAACAACCCCATGAACGGTGTCTCTGTGTAGAAGCACTGGACCTGACAGGAAAGAAAAAGCTGAACTCTTGTATTTTTCTGTCCAAATGTCAGGAAAGGAAAAGCTGAACTCTTGTATTTTTCTGTCTGTGTAAAATAGGTGTTTCTCTATAAAAAAAAAAAGAAAAACTAGTAATAATTATTTGTTTTCTAATAAAAAAAAATAAAGAAAAATGTGCTGCTTCTAAAATAAAGCCGGTATTGTATGTAAATTGATTTGTATAAAAGCACTTTCATTTACATTTCAGTTTTGTGGCCTCCTGCCTTTTCAGTAAAGTCAACCCACAGTGTTGCAGAATGAGTCAGGTTTTTCCAAAAATTCTTTTTTTTTTTTTTCCCCCCTCTCAGAATATTTCATCCAACGTCCTGGAGGAGTCTGCAGTATCAGATGACGTGCTGTCCCCAGAGGAGGAGGGAATCTGTGCTGGGAAGTACTTTAGCGAGTCTGGCTTGGTGGGCCTCTTGGAGCAAGCAGCTGCGTCGTTTAACATGGTACGAGTCAAATTCTCCAACCACACGGTGACAGGCTACGTATTATGGAAGCACCGGTTTCCAGCGTGGACACGGCTGAAGGCGCAGGGCCACATAATCCAACAGTGTGAGTGCAAATGGCCTCTCTCTGCTCTCTGACCCCCAGGCTGTCATGTATGAGGCCATCAATGAAGTCTACAAGATTCTGGTTCCTATCCACGAGGCCAACAGAGACTTCAAAAAGTTGGCCACCGTTCACGGAAAGCTGCAGGATGCCTTCAACAAAGTCTGCAACCAAGTGAGTCAACAGCAGGATGTTAAAACTGAGAGCAGTTCTCAGTAGATGGGGAAAAATTCATATGTGCTGATTTTTGTTTTGTTTTCTTCGCTTTTTTTTCAGAGTTCAGGCTGGGAGGTGACAAACTTGTTTATGACATTTTCAACATTTGTAACTATTTTTTTTATTTAAATGTATTGTTTTGATATTTACAATACTTTCTTTCTACTGCTTCTTACCCCCCCCTGGACACTGGATGACATGTTACTGGTGAGTGACGAAAAACTCCTTTGACATTTGTAATATAGCAATTGCAATTGCAACTGCAATTAGGCTTGTTACTTATTTAGAATTTTTTTTAATTAATTCCACTTTCCACAATGCAAGTGAACAACAACATAAAAAAATACAATGAAATATAGCAACTAAAGCAGAGTGTTTAATACGCTATAATATATATATATATTTATATATAGAGGCATGATGGAGGAGAAAATAAGGTTTTGGGCTGATATGGATCGGTATGGGCAGATACTCCAAATTGCAGAATCAGACATGAAGTAGTTGTATCGAACCATCACTAATTATTTGCATATAACTCCCTCATCACATGGCTTGAAATGCTAATACACTAATTATTTGCATTTAACTCCCTCATCACATGGCTTGAAATGTTCCCTTGTATTTTTTCCATAACCAACAGCATCACAAACTCCCGTTTTTCTTTTCCGTTTCCTTTCTTAGCGTTTCTTCAGAGGATGTTCGGAACCTACTTCCGGGTCGGTTTCTACGGCACTCGCTTCGGAGACCTGGACGAACAAGAGTTTGTGTACAAGGAGCCGTCCATCACCAAGTTGGCTGAGATTTCGCACAGACTGGAGGCAAGTGTGTCGACACAGACTTAGTTACCGGTTATTTTTTCTCCCGCGGGGTTCTTGATGAACACGAGGTTCTGAAGGTGCGTCCGTTTGATGCTTAGGAGTTCTACTCGGAGAGGTTTGGAGACGAAGTGGTGACAATCATCAAGGACTCCAACACTGTGGACAAGAACAAACTGGATCCTAACAAGGTGACCATATTTTGATTTCTTTATTGATATACCATGAATAAAGATAAAAATCAACTATCGATCGATCGACTGTAATTTTTTTTTTTGTTTTTTTTTTTTTTTTAAAGGCCTACCTCCAGATCACCTACGTGGAGCCACACTTCGACACGTACGAGATGAAGGAGAGGATTACCTACTTTGACAAGAACTACAACCTGCGCACCTTCATGTACTGTACTCCGTTCACGCTGGACGGCCGAGCGCACGGCGACCTGAATGAGCAGTACAAGCGCAAAACCATCCTGACCACGTCTCACGCTTTTCCGTACATCAAGACACGCGTCAATGTCCTGCACAAGGAGGAGGTGAGAAGTATTTATATATTTGTATATCTCCTTGTTTTTTTATATATATATTTGGACAGGCTCATGCAGCTGTTGAAGCTGTATTAACATAAAAGGTGTACAAAAATATTTTTTGAAAAACATTTTTTGTTATTATTTTGGTTCACTATGTTTTGCAATGCCAGCCAATATTCATGAGTCATTTAGCGTTTTAAGTCTGGGAAATGTTGTTTGTGGGCAGCAGTAGTGGATTTCACAAGTACACCTTGTACTACGTCTGTACTACGTGTAATTTTATATCATGTAAATTCACATCTTCTTTGAATTCGCAACTTGAAACTGAGGTTTTCACAGAACTGGAATAGGCAGGCCAGGCTATGTTGTCTGACTGGGATTAAACAGAAGGTTCGAGACCTCCGTTAATGTACAGATGTTTTGCACTGAACACATTAGTCAGAAATTCAGTGCATGTGCCTTAATTATAGGCTATACTCACTCAGAAAAGCAGTCACCCTTCAGGTATTTCACCATGTGAATCCTGCCGTCTTATTAAATACCTTGTCACAGATGTATAGGAAGAGCAAGGGTTTAAAAGGTCCAAACGCAAATTCACACCAGAGCTGACAGTAACGAGTGTTTCCCTTTATTTTTTTTGTCCATTAGATCATTCTTGTCCCTATGGAGGTGGCCATTGAGGACATGCAGAAAAAAACACAGGAGCTGTTTCTGGCCACAAACCAAGAGCCTGCCGACTCCAAGATGCTGCAGATGGTGTTGCAGGGCTGTGTTGGCACCACTGTCAACCAGGTTTGTTTTTGTTTTTTTGTTGTTGTTTTTTTTTCATCTCTCACTCAACCTACTTTCATATAACAGCTATTAGAGTGGGGTCAAAAGTCTGGGTCAGTGTCTTTAGTAGCGACACACATTCCTCAGCAGATTTGTAACAAGGTTGTCTCCTTCACAGGGGCCCCTCGAGGTGGCACAGGTCTTTCTCTCTGACATTCCCGGCGACCCCAAACTGTTTCGACACCACAACAAACTGCGCCTGTGCTTTAAGGACTTCACCAAGAGGTGATGACACGCTTCACGGCCCCGCAGCGCAAACGCCGTTGTCACTGATAAAACACAAACGCAGAGCAAACGCCGTTGTCACTGATAAAACACTAACTCGTTATCTTTTCCTCCAGGTGCGAAGATGCCCTGCGGAAGAACAAAGCCCTGATCGGTCCGGACCAGAAGGAATACCACAGAGAGCTGGAGAGGAACTACAATAAACTGAAAGAAGCCCTGGGTCCCCTCATCAACCGCAAGATCCCGCAGCTCTACAGATGCGTGCCAGCTCAGGCTGCACAAATACAACGGTAATCTGAGACGGCGTACACTTGCACTCACAGACGGACACACCTGCACACTCAGACACACAACATGACATCATGCTGCTTCTCACAGCCCGTCGGGCCAACAAAGGAGAAACATAAAACCAAAACTCTGAAGGATTCCAGAGGGGGTTTGAATGGGAGCCGGAATCCTTAAAATTCCTGATGTTTTTCATAAGCTTGAATTTTTCAATGGTCAAGTTTCTGAATTTGTTAACGTGAATGGAGGGGGAAAAAAGGCTGGAGGAAAAGCCATAAATCTTTCCTGTGGTGGCTACGTAGAAGCTAGCTGACATTAGCAGTGCTCTATAATAGATCATGAGCAATAAAAGAAAAACATATATTATTATAATATATATATTATATTATTATATATAGTGGTGGTCATATACTGTAAGGATTGAGTCATATTGTGCCATACGGCAATCATGCATTTAATCAGTACCACAACATGTAATGTATATATAAAGTATGTTCAGTTTATATGAGTAAATATATATATTTAAAGTTTCCGTCGTATGTAGATTGCTTCAGTCTGGTCATTTGTATAGTACTGTACTGTAGCTCCAAAGGCAGAAAAAACATGTGGGCGCCCAGGATATAGATAGGTAATAGGATAAATAAAAAAATAGATAACAGTTCAAAAATCCTCAGTTTGTGCATAGAAAATAACTCAATCCAAACCCAGAAAAAAGCTTGAAGCTATGTAACCAAATTAGGAGGAAACAACTGGGACCGAAAAAAACAACCTGAATTTGGTCTTCATCGCAACTTAACGTTTACGTCACTGAGGCAAGAATGGTAGTGGCTGATTGGAGTTTGTCTCCGTTATCGTTTCTTCCAAGGTCTGTAAACATTGCGATCATATTTCAATGGAAATAGATAACGCATCCCATCGAGTTAACCTAACCGCGGAGGAATGCC